GTGTCTCAGTGCGACTGGTACAAATGTCTCATTCCCAAAGAAGTAAATTGACAACAGGTAATAAAGTTCTTGAGAGTTTAGAAATATCTGGCACACAGAAGGGTGTGACTTTCAGGCAAATGGTCCTCTGCTCTCAAAAGGTGTAACCTCTGAATGCAAATTTCCATTGTTAGCCCATGTTTCCATGTGAAAGAAGTTTCTGTCTATATAAAGAAATGCTCGGGGCCTTCTGTATCTCAGATCAGCCCGTGAATGTTGAGAGCCGCCGGGACTCTCGGCTTCATGTATTTCCAAATGTTGGGTTCGCATCTCTTCTCTTTATTCCAGAGCATTTGATGTTATTGTATTGATTATATTTTAATTGATTATGAAATTGGCATGATACATTTACCTGACATAATAAATTGTTACATTTGATTTTTCTAAATGACTTTGACATTATTTTCATTAAAGGGATACTCCACCCAAAAATTAAAATTCTCTCATCATTTACTCACCCTCAAGTTGTTGCAAACCTGTATGAGTTTCTTTCTTCTGCTGAACACAAAGGAAGATATTTTGAAGAACGATTGGAACCAACAGTTGTTTGGCACCATAGTAGAAAAAAAAATACTATGGAAGTCAATGGTGCCAAATTTCCAATCGTTCTTCAAAATATCTTGCTTTGTGTTCAGCAGAAGAAAGAAACTCATACAGGTTTGCAACAACTTGAGGGTGAGTAAATGATGAGAGAATTTTAATTTTTGGGTGGAGTGTCCCTTTAAAGAGTTAAAAAGTATAGTCAAACATTCGCTCACATTTAATAATGCACAGATATCATTAAAACCTTTTTCATTTTGGAGTGAGATGAAATAACGAGAAAATACATATGAGAAACTGTATTGCATTTAATCAAATTACTTTGCCACGCGGAAAGACAGTAACACACAGATACCTTTCCCGCTGATCGGATGCCTCCATTGGGCCGATCGAGCCGGGCCTTACAACTATAAGTAACTTTGCAACTACATATCACCTAACTCTCATTAGAGTATTAGTAGACTGTCTGCTTAACCTCTTAATGTCTGCTAACACTTTATGTTGATGCTCCTCCAACAGGCCTGTTACTGCAACATGTCAACTTATTCTAACCCTAACCGTTAATACTCTAATACTTTAATTAGAGTTAGTTTACATGTTGGTGTGAAGTTACTTATTGTCAACAGAATGTCTGAGGGGACCAAAACAAAGTGTAACCAAATACAGTATATATTTTTTAAAAGCAGATAATCAGAATCAGTAAAACAAAAGCAGTATTGGTTGATCTGCATCTTTGGAGTGCATTAAAGTGACTAAAGTGTGTGTGTGGTATTTTTTTTAGCTGTCTGTATAAATGATTGTTTGGATTAGAGACCAGGCCTCCAGCTGTGAGAATGGCAATATGCATGTCTGAATGAGACCCACTCTCCTCCCATTCTCTAAACACACACACAGATTCTCATTTACACCCTCCTCTCTCCCATTTGCAGAGCTTCTTTGGCTTAGTAATATTATTTTATTTTATTATAATTAATTTATCTTAAACCAACGCCTCTCACCTGCGCCAATGACGAGAATGAAACACCTCATACTGCCCTGATTCCCAATGTACTGAATTTACTGAGAGCCCTTCATAACCCCATTTAATGACGTCTAAAGAAAAAACATGTTATACAAAAAGATTAAAAAGTAAAAATGAGTGATGTTATGTTCTGTTTCATGATGTTTTCTCCCAATTTGTTTTGACATCCAAGCCCATTTTTACGTTGTTATTTCACTGAGTGACCTATTTTTAGCTTTAATTATCAGTAAAGACCACCATATTTTGTACAATCAGGGCATACAGTCTTTGTTCAGGCTTTCAGGGCAAATCTTTGAACAATCTTAGAGCCTCTATGAATGCTGATTGCGGAATCCTCATTCTGCGCGTCAAACAAAAGACGGGAGTGAATTTACATTTTGAAAGGTGTCCCAGTTATTTTCATTTGCATACGCCTTGGTTCTCATCAGTTTCCAGATAATGGTTATTAGTGGTGCGTGCACTACAGTTTACACATTAATGATAAAAACCAGGCGGCTTGTGATATCTTACTTAAGATTTTCATCTGACTGATGATAAAACAAAGAAATTGAAGGAGGTATTTGAGCCTGATAGGGACCTGAATATAATGGAAATTTGAAGGTGGATTTGTGATTTGGGCCAATAAGCAACCACCCAGAACACCCAGCAACCACATAGTGAAATAAAAATACCATGATAATGTCAGGTTTATGTTAGTTTCTGTTAACTCTTATTTTGACATTTGTTCCTGTTTCCCCACTCTGTTATCAGTATATATAGACCGTAACAATCAGGAGATCCCAGGAGAAGCGTAGGAGAAAAAAGCAAAACCATAATTCATAAACGAGAACTGACAAGGGACTGAATTGAACAGGGAGTATATATTCACGTGGCAAACAACCCCTGACAGAAGAACAGACCAAAACATGAGAGGAAACCAAAACTAAACAGAGCAGGGAAACAGGAAAAAACGGAAACAAGGTTGTTGCATTTTTGTGTTACTATTTCATGGACTTGAGCTATATGTGAACTAACAATGAACAGTTGTATTTTTATTAAAATTATATTAAGGTTAATAAATTATAACAAACATAGTGTTCATTAATGTTGGTTAATGCATTAACTAGCATTAGGGGATCTTTTTGTAAAATGTTACCAATAAAATATTTAGCACACTACAATGTACAAAAACAAATATTTTTTGAAGTTGTGAATACAACAAAGATTATTAGAGTGCATTTTCCAAACTATTTCATTCTTTTAACTTAAAAATGTATTGTTTAATTCAATGCGTTGCAGTTTCTTTGTAATTAATTGTGAAGTGTACTAGCAATTAGAGTAAATTTGAAAAATTGTTTCCACACCAAGTGTTTTCCCCCAGTGTAGATATGTACATTTAGATACATTCATGTTACACATTGATACTTTTATGATCTTTTTCCACAATGTGACGTCTAAGTGATTTAAATGTTGATATAGTTTGTCTCTCTCTAATATGAGCTGTTTTTGATAAAACAAAATTTTGACTTCACTAACTATAAATATGCCTCATGGTGGCATACAGTCAGACTCAACACATTAACTGAATGATTTTCTTTCCCAGTCCTATTAAACCAGATAATGTCTTTTATATGTCGTTGGTGTTTTTTATTGTCTCTCTCTCTGTATCTATCTCAATCTCACCTTCCCTTCCTCTCTGTTTATAGTCACCATGAGAGTGTATAGATCTAAAGAGCCAGTCTACACAATGTGTTCAGTAAACTGTTATGATGAATGAATGGAAAACGTTGGCTGGATTGCTTATTTTCATTAATGGGAATGCTTTCTTTCTCTATCCGTCTCTCTCACACATACAAATTCACACATAGACAGACAGTCCTTTCTCTGTGACATTCACAACACATGTGATGTGGCAGTATATAAATAACATAAGTGATGTTTTGTGAGTGCATGTGTTTGTTTTATGTATAAGATTGGATGTTGAAATGCATATACAGACCTGACTTGCTGTTCTTAATTGATGGTCTTGTTGACTATGACCATTGATTCCTATGAAAACAGCAATGCAGAGAAAAGGAAGAATAATGTTAAAACATAGATGTTAACATATTTGTTGTGATTTGTGTGTTTCTATGAACATGTTAATTCTTAGGAACCTCATTAAGGTGTTTCTATAATCAGTGCAGCATGTTGTTGCTGAGCTCCTGATCGACCACATCGTGAACTATTCTCTGGTGTCATTCACCCTCAGGAGTGTCTGTCTGTTTAACACAACTCAAAGTATCTTTCATTTTTATAGAGCATGTTCAAGAGCCTGGAAAAAGTGATGTAACAAAAATAGATGATGTTAACACAGAGATTTTTGGGGCAATTGTCTTATAGTTGAATTTTTGAGCTATACAACGACGAAGTTCTGGGACGCGGAGTCAAACAGAGACATATTGTATCTGAAAATAAATGACCAGAAGACCAGTTGTAAGTTCCATTTGAACTTTTGAAGTAATTTGCCATTTGTATTGTTACATTATTAATAACAGGAAAGGTTGTGGGCTCTAACTCCACAAACTGAATGAGTTCAAAGGGAGATAGAGGGTCCCAGGTCACTCATGACCCAAAATATGCATCTGCCAAATGAATGAATGATGTGAAAGCTCTAATTTAGAAACAACAAATACCCGAACACACACATAGACCTACTGCAGTGTCATGCACGTTGTGATTGATGCGTTACTGTAAATACGGACTTGCTTATGTGTGGCTTTGCCTTGGAATGTTTGATACTACTTACATAAGCAACTTAGATTTTATTATTCTGCATGCTGTTGCGTAGGCGTATGTATTTACGTCGCATAAATTGCTTCTCCTTTGTTTTGGTCTACAATTTAGGTCGCATGATGTTTTTACATGTGTGTGTGCGTGAATGTCATGGTCTTACGTCAGTAAAGACGGCATGTTTATACTCCTCTCTTCCCCCGTGGTGAATGCTACAGCTTCTGTTCTCCATCTTTCTCCTTCTCTTTCCTTCATCGCCTTTAAAGGTTGTCACTGTTAGATGCGGACAGATGCGTCTCACTTGTCGGGATTTGTTCACTTAGCTGTGACGCTGGAGAAATGCCATTGCCACGTGACCAGGACCACCTCACCTTTTTGTAACGCACTATAAACACTATAAAACGAGTCTTAATACACCTTGGGTGTCTTTGAACGACTAGAAGCAACAATGGCTGCTCTGGGTGGTTTGGATGCGTCACTGGTTAAAGGTTTTCTGCTAATGAAGCCATCTCCAGAAGAACTTTATTTCATGGATGACCTGGATTTTATTGTGAGGGACAGAGTTTGGATTTCTGAATGTTTTGTCTTTAAAATTTAACCTTTGCTTATGTTGTTTTGACTTTTTTCCCTTCATCTTTTGTTGTTACAGAATCGAGAGTTGAGACCAGAGGAGATTGATGGTAAGTTAGATGATTGAAAACTTATTTTAGCTACTTTACCTTCTTCAAACCTGTATAAACTACAACGTTTTATTGTTTTATTAGACCTCATGTTTCATTTAGCCTGTGTGTTAACATGCCATTCATGTGTTTGGTATGTCTTGACGAGTGAAGAGTTGCGAGAAGCGTTTAAGGAGTTTGATAAGGATAAAGATGGATTCATCGGCTGTAAAGACCTGGGGAACTGCATGAGAACTATGGGATACATGCCCACAGAGATGGAACTAATAGAACTGAGCCAGCAAATCAACATGAACTGTAAGCTTCTGGTTGCGCACAGCCATAATCCTATTAGCTATGTCTTTTCACTGCAAAATATTGACATCAGTCTGTTTTTCTTAGTAGGTGGCCATGTGGATTTCGAGGACTTTGTAGGGTTGATGGGACCTAAACTCCTTGCTGAGACAGCGGACATGATCGGCATAAAAGAGCTCAGAAATGCCTTCAAAGAAGTGAGTTATATAATATAAATATATTCTGTATAATATAAAGAATATAATATACAAATAAAACATTTAAGAAATATAAAAAATAAATATATGCATTGTTTTCAGTTTGACACAAATGGAGATGGTGAAATAAGCACAGGAGAGCTAAGGGAAGCTATGAGGAAGCTGCTGGGACAACAGGTTAGTGCTTTTGGTATAGAGAGAATTGTGAGAATGTGCTTAAAGTGACCAAGAAATTAAATTATCAAATTTTTTTTATCTATTATCCGTGCATATATAGCTTCTTTTTTTAAAAAAAAAGATGTGCACTCATAATCTTTAATCAAAGTAACTTCGTGTTTACTGGCGTGAGGGCGGGACAACCTGCCACTCACATGAGATCACAGCAATAGCAAACCACACCAATCAATTCTCGACTTTTGTTGTTGTTGTTGTTGTTCGAGAAGCCATTTTATTTGGATATACATCACAATAGGGAAGAAAAGACTATCGCAACTTCTGTTTCATGCTGACTTTAAAGTGATATGAAATGAAAGTTGACCCTTTCTATTTTCTAAATGCATGCTTATTGTGAACAAATAATCCATGCATACGTTTCGCTTTCTTTTTTTTCTTTTCGCCCTATAATTTTTCATCAAAATTTCACAACTAAATCTTCTGGTGAAAACAGCTTAAACCCCACCCCTTGCTTACAATCGACTACTTGCGTTCAGATCCGCCTCTATCCAAATCCAATCAACAACCGATGGATAGAACCAAGAGCCCAACCTACGTTTATTTTTTCAATGTAGGTTGTACGTCACAATACAGAAGAATAGATCTGTCTCTGTTAAAGGGGTCATATAATGGTACATGCACTTTTTCAAGTTGATTGTACTGAAATGTGTGTTGGCAGTGCCTGTACACAAACATCATATAATGATAAAAATCCATCCAGTGTTTTTGTTTTAATCTCCTTATATGTTTTCCCCTGCCTCAAATCAAGCCATTCGACCGTGTGATGTCACACAGTCGGAAGCCCCCCCCGCGATTGTTGATTGACAGCAGCGTTTCAACACAGACCCGCCCTCGCTCGTGAGCCAGCTGTCAATCATAGTCTGCGCGGACCGGCGCGGTCATTGTTGATGCTGGAGCACTGTCTATGAGCAGAATGGCGTCTAAGCGATTGTGGTGTTCTGTTCTTGGGTGTAATAACGAACACAGCAGTCATTTTAATGTTCCTAAATCCGAACCGCTGAAGACGCAGTGGCTGAGTTTTGTTTTCGAAGGGAATATTCCCCACGAGCAACGTCAATGCTTTCATGATTGCGTGAATCATTTCTCAGCAGACTGCTTTATAAACGAGGGTCAGTATAAAGCTGGTTTTGCTAAGAAGCTACTCCTGAATAAAGGATCGGTACCAGCTATTTGTGTTCCTGCTGAACCTCTAGAACAACTGAAGTGAGTGTAACGTTTTATTAACCTTTATATTAATATTTATATCTTTGCAAATCACTTCACGATGAATGAGTCTAAGGTTTACACTCAGGGTACATTACTGCATGTTTTCTATGTACGACGTTCTCCATATAATTCATAATCCCACGTTTATAATGAACAATGCGTTATGGTTATTGTGTTACAAACGGTGTATGCACAGAACAGAGGGGCGGGGTGAGCAAAGCTCATGATCATTTAAAGGCATATGCACTGAAACGGCGTGCTGAAAACAGAGCTGTTTTTGACCAGGTAAAATAAGTGTTTTCTTATAATACTAATGAGAATTTTTAATTAAAGTATATTACAAACTTTTAATTTAGACCCTAAAGAATCATATTAGCTTGTACAAAAATGGCATTATATGACCCCTTTAAAAGTTCTACTGTTATCTGATCTGCAATTAGGTTACTCTCCCTCATGTTTTCTTGTTTGCACTTTATTTTACAGTACTGCACTTTCAATGTACTTACAGTGTATTTACCAAGAAAGTACTGAGTAATATTAGGTAACTACAAGGTTTATGGGGTAGAAGACTCAGGGTTAGACCCAGTTATTATAATTATTACAATATAGTATGTAGGGGAACAGAACTGTAAATTAAAGTGCTACATTTTCTCAAACCTGAATGCTGTTTACTAAGGATTTACCCATTTTGAAAAATCTGCACACAGTTTAATTTCCATACAATGACACTCCATTGTGACCACATTTTGATTAGATTTGTTTGAGGGAAAAGACCAGAATCGTTCAGTCAAATTTCTGAACGGTTCCTGTCACCTGATTCTTAACAATCTATTCTTGTTTTTGTTAGGTTGGCCATCGAGACCTAGAGGACATACTGAGAGACATTGACTTGAATGGAGACGGCCGAGTAGACTTTGAAGGTAAGAATCTCAGTAGCACTATAACAGGGCCGTAACCACCAGACATTGAGAGGAACAAGTGCCACCAATAATTAAAAACGGTCAAATTGTCTCCCCCAATATTTGCTATTCTTGATTCTGCTCTTCCGCTCTACTCTGTTTGTTGTTTGGATGACAAAAAGTTTTAAAAGTAAAAATTTTAGGCTGGTCTGCCACAGCGTTTTTCCATTCCAACGTGCAAATTTTCCATTGTTTTTTTATGTAAACACGCGCTAGACGGACGTGTATAACCGTTGCACTCGCGTCTCGCATCTTTTGCAGCGCCTCGCCCACGTTCTGTGTGAACAAGCCCTAAAAGCGCTCAATGTCTAAAATGACTGAGATGGCCAATCAAAGCAAAGAAGGCGGGCCTTACTGCTCACAGTAGACAAGTGTGAATTCCAACGTGACGCTTTAGATTTAACAGTGAAAAGGTGTGTGGAAAGATGAAAGTAGCTAAACATTTAGTATTGAACTGTTTCAAGATAGAAATGTTAAACAACTAACAGTAAAATCCAGTGGTGCAAGCTTCTTTAAAAAAAAATTAATTCTCAGTTTTGAATTAAAAATATATGCTATAATTTAGATGATTCATGTCATCCATAAATGTAACGAGAAAAGAAACATTTTGCGTTCTCAACATATTAGACATGAATAAGAGACAATGTGTGCATATTTAAAAAATATGTATTATTTTTTCAAATAGTTTAAACTACTATTAGACCGTGAGCTTCTTTTACTGTTCTTGTTTCTTTGTCTTTATTCCCTTAAATTCCTTTTAATCCTTTAATTATTTAATTCCTTTAAAAGTCCCCCTGTAGTCAATATTTTTAGCCCTTAAAACTCATATTTGATCTAAAAAATTACGTTTTTCCGGTGAAAAAAATTATTCAGCCTAACATGAAACATGAATATGCTAATTAGTCCCGCCTCCACTCCTTCATGCCAGCTCACAGATTCACTCGACCAACTTACTGAGGTAAACGCTGCACAACGGTATCGCTCTTTACAACGTCGGACACATAACGGTAATTAATATGATTAGCCTTTTGCTTGACTATGTTATCAAACAGCTAATAATGTGTTGGTAATGTTACACAAGCTATGTTCCAACTCACGCTTTGAACAACTCAGAACATCAGTGGGAAAAGGCATATAGTTTATCAAAACATCGTAAAATATACATCATACACCCGCTTTATTGCTAAATCTACCCGATTTTTCTTATCAACAAAAAAATATACCGGGATCGCCTGGCATCTCTCGAGACTCCCCTAGTTCGCTGTTAATGATATGGTAAAACCCGCCAGTACGTTGACGTGATTGGCTACAAGGTAGTTTGTGACGTCAGAAACAGCAGTGATTTCAAACTCCGTCTTTCTTTCACTGCAGTTTTAAGGAGAAAATACTCAGCAATGGTGTTGACATGAATTTGCACATGGTTTGTCTTAAAGCACATAAAAAACACCATGCACATAGACATATAAATAACATTAAAAACTTGATTTCCACCACAAGGGGACTTTAAATAAAAAGTCCAATTACGTCCCCCTCAACCACGTTAGTCCCCCCAATGTTCAAGACGGAGTTACGGCCTTGCTAATAAAAAGTAAAAGCAGACAATAGATGCACAGTGTTTTTAAGTTAAAGTCTCTGTATTTATTTTCTCTCTGTCTCTTTTAGAGTTTGTGCGAATGGTGTCCCGCTGAAAGGGCAGCGTTCACATAGTGTCTCCAACAGAAGAAAGTGAGATGCTGTACTGCTTCCTGCTGGTCAAAGCAGACAGAGTATTAGACTACTGCAAGAAAGGCCCTGCTGAGCCGGCAGTGGTGTGTGGTATTAAAAAATGAAAACTGGAGTTTTTGGAGAGAGAAAAAAATTCATACGCACACACACACAAACAAAAAAAAGTATACAAGTATACTGTAGCCAAGTGTCTCTGCACTTTCAACCATGCAAGACCAAACAAAGTTTTTTACACGCACATTAGAGTACAATGCTTGATTATGGCAATATTACATTAAGTGTTGTCCCTGTTGTCCCATATATGTGTCTCCTTGTGATAAGCTAGGTGAAGAAAATGATGTCAGAAAGTTTTCAGTCACACTCTGTGAAGTCTATTTTGTTAGCAGTAACGTAATGGCGTAAATGCATTGACTTCCTGATAATATGTTATGCGAGTCAAGCTCATAACTCCAGTTTTGAGGCTATTATTATTTGTCCTTGTCAAACTATTTGCCTGTTTCTCTTCTAAAATCACAGTGCATGACTGTAAAACAAATATATTCCACTGTGCAAGATGGAACCAAATTTTGTTGCTGGCCTCTATAGTTTTAAAGATTTCATTTTAACACAGAACTGAGTGATTTCTAAGTTTAGAAATGTTTGATTCACTATTTTAGTTATCATGACATACTTGTCAGGCAACTGATTTCAAGAGCACAGTTTCACTCTACACAGGCCTATTTGAATCAATGCAAATGTTCAATACCCGATCATATGCTTAAGAAACAGACAGTGAAGATTTATTTATTTGACTTGAGCCTCTTTATGTCTGTTTGCGTGACCAGTGTCGGAGGCATTCGTAGTCTTAACTGTTATCTGATCTGATTATTGCATGCCAAAAAGACCTTCATATGTAATATAGTGGTTTTAATACCTTGTAACAAAATAAGCAAATAAAACTGTCTATTAATAGTGTATATTTTTCATCACCACATTTGTGTATAAGCTTCATTACTCTATTAGTTTTTACTCAACTAAAGGTTTGCCTTACCTGCTCTAAAGAAATGCTATTTATATACACAAGGAGCAACAATTTGGCTGCTGTCTGCTCAGCTGTTCTCCAAATCATTCAGCAACGAGCATCACTTTCCCAGCGGCTGGAACAGACTGTACGTGTTGTCATGGCAACGAGGCTTTTTCCTCCGGACCAAAACGGGACAGAATTTTTTTTTTTCTGCTTTTTCATTCTGAATGCAGCAGAGCTAGCGAGACGAGAGCTAAAAATAATACCACATGCCACCGTGTGGTAAAAGACACGCAACTGTCATCATGATGGTTTTACCAGACATGCGTCTAAATTTAAAAAAGAAGCCTATTTTTTTGCGTTTTAAATTAATGTAATTTATAAAGAAATATATTATTGTATTAATTTAATTCATGAATCAAACATTCTGCAAGGCAAATGTGAAACTTCCTTCATAGTAATGTGTTTTTAATAAATATATTGTTTCACAAACCAACAGTAATAATAATATTTTTGAACATATAATATTGTTGTTTTACATATGAACATAATTGCTGTTTTATGATTTTATTATACATTTACATTTTTACATTTACATTTTGACATTGCTTGGAGTAGCATAAGCCAGGTAAGCAAGGATTTAAAGGAAAAGGAAATCATTTTTATTAATATATAACTTAAAAATAATAATAAGTCTTAAAAATAAGACTTAATTCATTATCCAGTTCTGTTCTATATCTATAAAAATAATTATAAGTCTTAAAAATAAAACTTAATTCATTCTCCAGTTCTGTTCTCTATCTGTCTAATCCCGCCCACCTTTCGCTGCGTAGGTACAATGTTACCAATGAACTTAAGCCAGCTAATTTATGCGAGGAAGTGTGTGAAAGTTGATACACTTGATTCGCTGGTTCCAGACACTTTCATCGATTGTGATTGGTCAGAATCTGCCGTACTTTACGAGTATATTCCTATCACAAGCAAATCAAGTCGGAGAACCTGTTACTCGACTTTGTGTGATTGGCTTATCTCCGCAAAAATCCCGCCCCCTCCGGAAACTGACTATCATGTTAGTCTGCCTCTCCTTACTGTTCCATCCCTTCAACCTGCGCTGCTGACTGCACACATACCCACAGTACTGACGCGGCCCTCCCGGTCAGAAATTGCAGTGATTTCAGGCGCAAAAAGCTCAAAGATAACTGTGTTGAGCAGCATATAAGCGTTGAATAACCACGGTGTGATCATCTATTAAACGAGAGAGAGAGCACACGCCGTACACAGGGGTGCAGATGTGAGGGAATATACCTGCAGACTACAGCTGCCACACTGATGACAGAGCAACAGGGAAGTCAGTTAGCCAGCTAACCACCCAGAGCTAAACTCGACTATCAGGCAGGTAATGAACGGCGATCTGGACGGCTCAACAACAGCGAGCAACCCAAGCATCTGAACGGAGCCGGCCGTCCACTACAGAGAGTATTTCGCAGACTGCACAGTAAGAGTGACATACATATTGGCTTATATTGCTTTGGGCTTTTTACACATTAAATTGTTAACCATTCTGGACCATAGGTTATGTTTTTCAAATGGTCACACTGTTCATTGTTCGTCGCCCTGCTAGGTTTTGGTATTAATCCTAGATATTCATATTTCTCACTGCACATTTGTATAGCCTGGGTTAACCTTCTCATTTGCATATGCATGATGTCGATAAAGCCGATTGGACGCATACAGCTCGAGACGTGCACGAGCTAACTGCTCGTTTATATGTGTAAATGTCGCCACGTTAAAAAAAAAGCTACATATTGTAAACAGAAAATAGTCTATTCATTACGTTTTCGTCTCTATTTCACATTTTTTCTCGGACAATGAAACTAAACAGTGCGTGAAAGTTTCTACAACTGAACGAGGCGTCTGAATATTTAATGAGTTGAGCTGCGAGGCAGTTTATGATTGGTTGTTTGTTGCTAAACAACGTGCTGTCACATTTTAGCACACAGTCGTTTTAATCAGTGCACCATTGTTAATATAATTAGATGTTAACCTGGCTAGCCCAGGGTTAAACCTGATGTTGACTCCATTTAAAATTATCACAGGATTAAAAATGGCCATTCACCCTGCGTTTAACACCGCGTTATTGTCGTTTTAAACCACAGGTCAAGCGCAGGGTGTAAAGCGCACGCGAGTGCCAGTCCTAGTTCACCGGCTTCCTTACATACCGTTTTCCCCGCTTCTGCTTTTCTTCATTCTTTCACTTTTCCTCTTGTACTTTGCAGGCTATGAGGAGGGTGACATTGCGCTGTGCTGCCCGGCTCGTATTTGCAGCTTTGTGGCTGTTGGTGGAAGTGTGTCAGGCCGAGAGCGGGGCCCCGAGTCTGGCCGAGCGAGTCATCTGGGCTGTAAACTCCGGCGGGGACGCGCACACTGACGTGCACGGAATTAATTTCAAAAAAGATCCACTGGAAGGAAAATTGGGGAAAGGTGAGTACTTGAGTACGTGACGGATTGCAGAGGAGTGTTGTATTTTTCCTCCATATTTGACTGCAAAGAATAGTAAAAGAATAGCAAAACTCGAGAGCATGTACAGTGAATTTGAGAACTTTTACAATACATATGTGTACTTTTTTTGTTGGTATTTATATTTGTGAAATTTACACTCATGGGCTCTAATGTGAAAACCTGTGAAATAAAAACCTATCTATATGTATTCTGAATTTGAAGCTGCAGAGATGTAGTCACAAATGTGTAAAATGTCATTCACAGAAATACAATGACATACACAAACTTGTAGTACATAGTTGCACTTATTCTTACATTTTACACGTTTGTGACTACTTGTCTACCGCTTCAAATTTAGAATGCAGGTTTGCGACTATTGTCTGCGAGTGCAAATCTGAACATTCAATTTCAGATTTTTATTTCACAGGTTTTCACATCGGAGCTGTGAGTGTTAATTTTAGCTTACAAGTACAAATGTTTATTGTACAAGTTCTCAAATTCACATCTACATGCTCTCAAGGTTTTTTTTTTTTTACCTTCATACTATTGTTAGTGGTGGTCTGGAATGAATGAATGCATGAATGAGTGTCCACGTCATTCCAAACCCATATGGCTTTCTTTCTTCCATGGAGCACAAAAGGAGTTATTAACCAATGATTTTTGTCTCAGTCCACATTCACTTTCATTAGAAGAAAAAGATAAAAGTAAATGGTGACTGAGGTATCTTTTGTGTTCCTCTGATAAAAAGAAAATCACGTGGATTCGTAAACTTAAGGGTGAGTAAAAGATGACAGAATTGTCATTTTGAGTGTACTATCCCTTTAAGAATTACAAAATATTAAAGGTATTCCGGTTGCACTGTTTTGTTTTATTACAGTATGATTTAAAATTGTAATAAGAATGTCAATCATACTATATTATCAAGTGGAGAACTGGTTGTCTGGTTGGCTCATAGTAGTTTGTTATTAGAGCTGTTGATCATATCAGGAAGTTCGTGTCACTTGAAATTTGATGACTGTCACTTCCTGAGTCTGATGAGAAATGCAGTGCGCACATGTCAGGGCCTGTATAGTGCTTTGTAAAGACATGTTTATTTGTCCTATTTCACATTATTGCATCATTGTCACCAGATAATTAATGACCAGTATTATAAACGTGGTACTTAATTTTCCACTCTGCTCTTTGTTGGTTATAAATAGATATTGGAACAAAATGAGGCGTCTGTGAAATCCTTAATCTGGCTTGACATTTGCTTAGCATGTTATAAAATAATAAATGGGACAACACTTGCGCACAAACTCAACATTTGGCTCTGTTGGTGTTTTTTTTCCCCACCTTGCTCCAGCATCAGACTATGGTCTCCGTCTGCCAATCCTGCGCTCCAGCCCGGAGGATCAGATTCTCTACCAGACGGAGCGATACAACGAGGATACATTCGGTTATGAAGTACCCATCAGAGAAGAAGGAGACTACATACTGGTCATGAAATATGCTGAGGTTTACTTTGCTCAGTCTCAACAAAAGGTGTGAATTTTGCTCACATCCATGGTGCACACAATCACTCTTGGTAGTCGATATTTGAACGTGGTTATGATTAATAATTCATGATATTCCAAGGTATCCATTTCATAGTTGTCCCTCATCTCTTTCTCTCTTATCCTTTCTTTTATTGTCTTTTGAAACCCCTTTTGTTTGCTTTTCTCAGGTTTTTGATGTGCGTTTAAATGGCCATGTTGTGGTGAAGGATCTGGATATCTTTGACCGTGTGGGTCACAGCACGGCTCATGATGAAATAGTGCCATTCTCGATAAAAAGAGGAAAACTGAGTGTGCACGGTGAAGTTTCCACTTTTAATGGAAAACTCACGGTAGAGTTTGTTAAGGTAAGAGTCACCCTATATTTTCCTAGTACCTATATGGATCTGCTGGTCAGTGTGAGAGAGTTTTGAGCCAGTTGACCGATACTTTTACTTGCCCTTTCGAGCCAGTGCTTCTGTGTCATTCAATATGTTTCCATCCAGCGTTTTTTTTTATGTGCATTTTGGAATATTGCATATGCCCAAGATGCGCATAAATTCTAAAGATGTGCATAAAAACGTATGCGCTCAATTGAGACGGATACTTTTTTAATCCTATAAGAAGACATGCGCCTTAACTATCGTGGAAACACATTTACCGAATAAATCCCTCGATGCACAACCAAAAACTCATGTGACTTTACCTCAACAGTGGATGTGATTGGATGACTGGACTAACCAGTGGCCAATTTCATCGCACAGCATCTCCAATGTTGGTTTGATCACAGCCTGTCTTCAGAATGATTTGGTATAATGACCTCCCAGAAGTGTCTCGCATGATTGTATTTCCAAACACAAGATAACATGACAGCTCTGAGCAATTTCTCAGGAAGTGACGATTTTGCTCTCTTGAACACATTGGATGGAAATGCTGCTTTATTCGCAAATGTTTTATGCAATATTAAAATTTTGTGAATAAGTTAAATTCGCAACTTTGAATGAAAACAGCTATTGAAAATTTCGCATTAATTGATTTTGAATTGTCATGGTCTTGGTTTTCACTTTAACTACATTGTTGTTGCAAGATCTGCTACTCTAAACTTAGGCTTTGTTGAATTTTATTTCTGATAGTCTTGGAAGTATCAGTAAGAATGTATTGTAAACTACAAACCAATAGTAATTTTTTGCATAAACTGTTGTTTTCCAGCAAAAGTATGATTGTGAATTTATAGAGTTGCATTATAGCTGTAATATTCTGCATGTTGCACATTTTCATGTAATAAAGTGAAGAAAAACTTTTTATATATATTTTTTTTATTCTAAAAAGTTGTCGTGCCTGCATGAAAACAATGTAAGTCAGTGATTAGGACATGCATTTTTCTAGTGTGCATTTTTCAACATATTATATACACTACTGTTCAAAAGATTGGGGTCTGTAAGGTGTGTGTATGTATATATATATATATATATATATATATATATATATATATATATATATATATAAAACCTTTTTTTGTATTTTTGAAAGAAGTCTCTTATGCTCACCAAGGCTGCATTTATTTGATAAATACAGTAAAACAGTAATATTGTGAAATATTATTACAATTTAAAATTGTTTTTAATATAACACTTTTCTGTTTTAATATATTTAAAAAACGTAATTAATTCCTGTGATGCAAAGCTGAATTTTCAGCATCATTTCAGTGTCACATGAATCATGATCCTTCAGAAATCATTATAATATACTGATTTGATGATCAAAAAACTTTTGTTATAAAGCTTGAAAACAGTTGTGCTACTTAATATTTTTGTGTAAAAAACAACAACATTTATTATACATTTTGTTCAGGATACTTTGAATAGAAAGTTCAAAAGAACAGCATTTAAAAAAATAGACATCATTCATAGGAAATTCTTGCCTGTCACTTTTGATCAGTTTAATGCATCCTTGCTATATAAAAGTATTTTGTTTAATGACTGACCCCAAACCTTTGAATATAGTGTAGGTTTACCAATAACAAGATATTTTTCACATGAACATAATGCAAGTTACTCAACGGTTTCCACTTCGGCGTGGTAAAAATCCCTAAAAGCAAACATAACTCTTTCAGTGACAGTTATGCAGCCATCTTTTATTGAATAAACAAGACATTGGTCAATTAAATGAGCCTTGTTATTCGTTTTATTTTTCATTAAAGGAATATTGATCGATTATTGGGATGAAGTTATCCAGGCACACACACTGAAGCTTAGTATTTCCAAGAAGACGAATTCTGTCAAAACTAATTGTTTCTTGGAGCGTTTTTTGTTCCAGTAGTGTAATTTAATCGATCGTTTCAAAGCAGTTCCCTTTTCCTTATGTAAACAACAAATGGTTTTATCTTGTGGGCTTTCTGTCAGCGATTAGTCTCTGCGGAACCGTGCACATTGAGCATGACGACGGAAATCCAGAGGGAAGGTGACATTAATGGATATGAGGATGCGACACACATCAGCGTATCTGTCTTATGTATTATGCTTTTGCACCTGCCGATATGCAGTGCTTTGACAAATTGTGTCCGAACTGTTAAGCGAATTCTACTTTGATCCGGTTGCATAGTATTTGTATCCGTTTTTGAGGTTCGAAACCGATGGCGCAGAGAGCCGCATAACTGACCTTTTGCACGCCTCGGGCTTTTATTCACTGTTTGCAACTGCAGGCCAACCGCCACACAGAATATACTAGAATTGATTTGCATGTTTTCTCCATGTGTTTGCTTGCATTCATCCACTGTAAGCACTGTGAACCCTAATCTATCTATCTCTTGTGTCCACAGGGTTACTATGACAACCCAAAAATATGTGCACTATATGTGATGAAGGGCAAGCTAGAGGGTAAGAGGAACCCCTGGGATTGGTTGGGTTGCAAGTTGTCCATCTCATAGGGCTCTTGGATTCGTAATGTGGAAAGCACGGATAGAATCGCAGAGTTTAGTCATAAAACTGGAATTTGCTGTATAACGTGTAATGGCATGGAATTTGGCAAATTTTGGATTAATAAACCAAAAGAAGGGCTGCACACGTAAATGATATATAGGACTAGTGTCTGTTAATATTAAAGAGCAAAGGCTGCTAAATAAATATAAAGTCGGCATGTTCTGCATGTCTCTGTATGAATGAGTACCCCGTTTTGTATACTACATATACTTATTTTATTTACTTATTATCAAGGATTTTCATAATTTTTCTTCCATGTTTTAATGACATTTCATAGGGCCCTATCACTGTACAAATTTTAATGAATTTTTAAATAAACTTTTATTAATTCTATTGATTAGACATGCTTTTTGATTATTACAATTTAATCAAACCATTCAAAAGAATTCCGAAAATAACAGGGAATTTGTATTCAGAACTGTCTCCCTTTAAAATATTTTTTATTATAAGTTTCATTATTTTAATTAGACGTGTAACATTTCGATTTTTACACGTGTAACATGTAAAAAATTGAGTTTAACCATTAACCGAATCCATAAAATTAAAATGGAATAAAACAGAATTTGGGGAGTGGGAAATGAAATTTGGGGGGGGGGGGGGGGGGGGGATGATGATTTCAGAGGGCCCTATTCTTTGTCTTTCCTCTGTTGTATCCATTCAGCTGTTTTTTTATATTTTTTCTTTTTTTGCACTTTCTCATAACAACTTCTGGTTTATTTCTAAGATGTCCCAAAACTACAGCCACATCCTGGACTAGAAAAGAGAGAGGAAGAGGAGGAGGAAGAGGAGGAGGGGGAGGGTGTAGAAGGCGAAAAGAAGAGCGCATCCACCGCTCCAAAGAATCCGGTTCGGTCCGGGCCGCGCACCCCCAACCCGTACGCCGCTGACAACAGCAGCCTGATGTTCCCTATACTCGTGGCGTTCGGGGTCTTCATCCCAACCCTCTTCTGCCTCTGCCGCCTTTGAGGGTAACAAGTGAACAAGAGGAGGGAGAGAGAGGAGAAAGGACGGACATCAGGCTGTGGAGGGGTGGGGGGAGGGGCGCACAGCCGTGGGGACAGGCAGAAATATAGACTGACATCACAGCAGACAGAGAGAGAGAGCAAATAACGGGCGAGGGACATGCAGAAACGAGGACGTTTCAGATATTGCTGGTTTTTTTAAAAGAGGTGACCCTGAAAATACATGGATTTCGAATGCGAGTTCATTTTGTGCGTGTGTTTGTGCTTGTGTTTGTACACATTTAATACCAATTTTAGTTCGAGGAGATCCAAGATGTACCGATTAAATGCACAGGACTAACCACTTTACAAACCTGGTTTGTCTGGTCTAGCAGGAGAGAGATACTGAGGAAAAGTTGAGGACACTCCTAGATCACGTGTCCCAACTCATGGAAAGTTGTTGGCTAGGAGCTTTGTTTCTGATCAGCTGTGCTGTTGATTTGCTGGGGGGGGGGGGGGGGGGGGTTGTTTTGTTTTTCCTGTTGCTCTGGTGGGAGGCAGAAATGGTACAAGAATTTTCAGAACCCTTTTTGACACTTTGTCAATCATTTGGTTAATGCATCTAAACCTCAGTGGCGAATCATAAAGCGTTTTTGTGTTATTAAATGATTTGAGACCATGGTTCCTATTAACCTCACACTCATACAAGTTTCTCTCATTAATTTCCTGCAGCTTCTTTCATTGTTTGTAAGATTTGAAAAGCATATCACACATTTTCAGACCACAGCAAAACGTATTGGATCTCCAGCTGCACAAATGCAGCTTTTCCCCATTTACAGAGACATTTTGGTCTCTGAATAACTGCATGCGTTCGTTATTAAAAGAGAGCATAATTGTTTCCCTTTCTAGGTGGAAACATGAGTTCGTAACAGAGGGTCTTTAATACACTGGCCTTTGGCTCCCAGAAACTATAGGATTGTATTATTGGACTAATGTGCATTTTAAAGTGTTATTCCTTTAATTTCTCATCTCTCATTGGTACATGATGTGTCTGGGATAGCATCTTAGTATTGGCATCTTAATTGACGTTTCAAGGGCTCGGTCACCTATTACACGGTGAAACGAACGATAGATGCTTTAGTCAGGATGTTCTTTGTCACGTTACCATGTTTGCTTTTGCCACTGTTAGTTTCCTCTTGGTTCAACCAGACAGGCCGTTTTCAACAACACCACTAAAGATACTTGGATTAGCGGCTCACAGAAAACCACCAGAATGCTTGTGGCGGAAGAATTCAACAGATACATGCCTGCCACACACTGTGAAAGGGTCCTCAAGATGGCAAAGTTCAGCGCTGTCATTTTATGTTGAGTGAACTTTTGCATTCCAACTCATCCATCGCTCTTTCTCTCAGCGTATTCTGTAACTGGTATAGTTTTATCACGTCTTGCTATTTTAGATTGTTTGCATCCCTCGCTGCTTGTTCCCCCCCCCCCCCCTTATTTGTTTTTCCAAATGCTCCTTTTTGTTTCGCTCAAGCAATCCTGCCTTAAAATGTGATTTAGTGTGCTATCAAGAGACCAACTCTCACACTGCTGAAACATCAGACCACAATCGAGTGCTCATGCCACTGTGCTGTCTGACGTGCGAGCGCCTGTCTGTCCTCTTGTGTGAACTTGTAACTTATCTTGGCCTTCACCTTCTCAAGAGTTGGATGAGAGGGCAGGTTTTGCCTTGGTTTAATAGGAAACAATCATAAAAACATCGAGGCAACTTTTTTCATTTATCAGAGTTGCAGAACGTTGATTGCTTATCGTCGCCAAAGTCATTTTCTTTTCTTAAAAACTTTTACACGGTGCATGTGTATATAAGGTACTTGGTTTGTTGTGCCATACGGTTCTTTTTTTTTTTCGTTCATATAATTACTATTGGGGTTTCTGGGTTCTTAAATATCTGGCCGAGTGGAAGACTGGCCTTGAAAAATTGTTTGGTTGTGAATCATGATAATGGTTTAGTTTGCATCCACATAGACATACTGACCGATCGTCAGAAAGAGCTTGGATTGTATTGAGGTTTGTTAATTTACAGTTGTTTTTTTTATGTTGTATAATTTAAGCAAAAGGGGTTGAAAATAACAAATATTGAAAGACTTTATTTTCCAGGAAGTAAGTAGTTGATTTTTTTTTTTTTATTTCCTCAGGATCTTTTGAATTGATTTGTATTTTTTATGATGAGTTTTTACTAGTGTGAATTATTGCACTGCCTGGTGTTGTTTTAAAAGCATTTTTTTTGTGTGCGATTGTTTATTTTTATTTTTGTCATGCATTGTGTACTTTTGATTCCTTGTTGCCTTAAATTTGAATACATCCTTGTGTGCTTTACCATTTTTTTGTGCTCTGATCTTTATTTCTGTAGGTTGAGTTATTGCATGGTTGTTGAGTTTTTCATCGTTTTGTCATCTGAAAAACAGGTTGTTCAGTTTTTCCCTGCACAGATGCACAACTTCTTGGACAATAGCCAAAGACCACACGGAGGCCTTTCATTGTGTCCTCCTTCATGAAGAGCTCATGTGTATTACTCCATCCACACCACACCAACTGCTGCGTTTATGAGGGATGTAGTTTCTGTGTTTTATAATGTTAGTCATGTTAAATTCCCTGTCCCCTCTTTAGCCTCCTCCCTCAGAACTGAAGAGAACATGAACTGGTGAAATAGTATTGGAAAAGTTACCCGCCCACACTGTCTTTAGAGAAGGTTTCTGAAGTGGGAACTGCAAATTATTGCTGTTTCTTTTTAATAAATGTGCTATTTTATCTATCTGGCCTTGAAGGTATCTTTAATGAGGTCATTTTCATTGTTTCATTCATTCATAATTCATAAGTCGGTTAACAATTATAGTTCAACTTGAGATTATTAATCAATTCTATAATTATTGAAATTGTAATGTATTTTTACTAATATTGTGCCTTACCAAAAGCTGAAGTTTGCTTAATGAGCAATTAATTTATAATAATGAACAAAGTTATCAAAAATAGTAAACTATATATATAAAAGAAACCATAATTTTTTTACTAACATAGTGCCTTTACCAAAAGTTGAAGTTTCCTTAATAAATGAACAATAAATTTAATCTGTAAAAAAAGTTCCAATGAGTTAAAAAAATATAAACAATTACTTTTTTTTGTTTTTACCAATAAAGAGCCTTACGAAAAGCTAAAGGCCGCTTAATCAACGAACAATTAATTTACAAAAAAAGTTACAATTAGTAAAAAATAGATATAAAGGATATATCTATTAAAACGAATAATATATAAAAAATGTAGAAATAAAATGAATGAAAAAATGTGGGGGTTTTTTATTTATAAGAAAAAAACAAAAATATTCAAACAAGATGTACAAGACTTAATAATGGGCTTAGAGAAAATGAGATGAAATGGATTGAAGTATATAGAGGCCGAATACTTAAAATAAAATAATAGTTTAAAAAAAATAGCTGGCTCAAAAGAATAATAACATTCTAAACAAAACTGTTTTTAATAAACTGACGTGAGCTGATGGGGGAAACTTGAGAAAGCAAACAGAAATTACGGTAACCATAGCAACTTTCGAACGCCTTCAGCCAATCAGAGCGCAGTCCTGTCGGCGTAGGTTCTCCATAGTGACGCGCTACGCCATCTTGCATATCAGCGAGCGCCGAGTTCAGTAGAGACGCTGTCTAGTTTGCGCTTCAACGCTACACCAAGTGAAATTTCAGAGAGATGAACAGTCAGAGCTCCCGCAACGAAACAGCAGCCGCCGCCGTTAACGGCTCGGATTCAACGGCGGCGGCTTCCCGAGAGCGCAAAACTGGAGGCGGCGTTCTGAAAAGGCTGAAATCGCGACGAAATCAAGTGGACCGACGGCCTGTAACGGAGGAAGAGCTGCGGGCGCTGGGGAGAGACATCACTCCGGATGAAGTTTTGGGACTCCGCGCAGTCACTCGCGGTAAGAGCTGTGGGACAGCGCTATGATACCCGCTTCATCTCACAACTCTTCAGATCCTCTTAATGTAACGTTACATGTGCTATGAGTTACAGCATCTTCTGAGTAACGTTATATGTGTGTGTTTACTTACTTTATAACGTTATAGTAAGAGGCCCAATCCGTGAAAGACATTTTAATTAGTTTCCAGAGAGCACTTAATGTCTATTTTAAACATGGCCAATTAAGCACTGTGGATACTGCATCATGTTAAGAGTATTGCTAAATAGCTTTCTCAGTGCACAGATTCTTGCATGTGTTTGCTCAAGTCTTTTATTCAGACTTCAGAGATTACTAGCATATACTATGTTCCTCCCATGTGTTACTGAAGTACATGCCACATTTTCTCTCCACAGACTATCTTTGTAAACTAGAGGACAACATCTACAACATTGACTTCACACGCTTTAAGATCAGAGACCTGGAAACGGGGACAGTCCTTTTTGAGATTGCCAAACCGCCACACTGTGGTATGTTTCCTTTCTTTGTCCTCAAGTTAAACTAATAGATGACCCCACACAATGGTTCTTTTATGACAACTAACTTTATTACTTTTAACGTAAGTGAGTTTTTTTCTTTCGACATCATTCTTTTTTATAATAGTGCCATAACTGGATCTTACAGTAAAAAGACAGTCTTGTTGGTGATGTATGTTGGAGTTCTCAAATAATTTAGTGTTTAAACCCTGTGCTTTAATTACAGTCGACTTCAAGCTCGTATTCAGATTTGCCTCCATCCAATCAACAACCGATGGATAGAGAGCCACAACTTACATTTTTCTTTACTTTTTCAATAATGCATATGTATATCAAAATACAGAAGAAAAGATCTGCCGCCACTTGCGTTACAACACAACTTCTATGGTATCAAATTTATTTAGAGGTTTCTGCTGTCATGGACTATTGAAATATGAGGGAATTTTTGACATACGTTTGTTCATAAATAAGTATAATAGTATAAAGCAATCTCTACAAAATGATTTAAAGAAAATACTTATGCCGTAATCATGAACCGTTGGAAAAGTAATAGAAATTGATTGGTCAAACGGGGTTTGTTGTTTTATTATTATTGATAAATTATCTTATTTTAGGTTTTGTTCATATTTTGAGTTAGATTTTATTTTTATATTTTCTGTTTCATTTGAATTTAAAGGTGCCCTAGAATGTTTTTTTTTATTATTTTATAATGTTTCCTGGGTTACCCTTATAATGTTAGTATGTTTTTTAGATAAAAAATAATCATAATTTAGAAATAAATGGCATTTTTCCTAGCCTGATTTTAGCCTCTGATTTGAACACTCTGTTTGAAGGGGCGTGTCTGCTGTGGAATTCAGTGTAACCGGCCACTGCTGTGATTGGCTGATATGCTTGCATATGAAATAGCTAGTACCAGAGCCATAGAGAGAAAGAGTTGCGACACGCTTTGATGTCGCCGCGACGGCTGTCACGTGGTTCATGTAAGCCCCATTAGTTCCAAAACACACGCGGGCTGTCATGTTCTTCTATGGACAGACAGCAGCGATTGGATTATTAAACGGTAAATATAAAATAAAACACACACCCAAGTACTTTTTAAGCTGTTATTGCATTTTGTTAATGTCAGTTTTGCATTTGGAGAGGCAGGGTGACAACTTAGATAAGTTTTAGGCTATTTTTTTGGAGGGAAAAGCTTAGTGTTCATGTTCGCATGGGTAGTCCTGGCTTTAGCGGCTCTAACTTAACTTTTCCATGTCATTCATCTGATGATGGACGTCTCATGATATTTATTTTAGCACAACTGGGCTGTATTAGGCTATTGATTCCTGTGATCTTGCTTATAAATTCCGATTCAGCCATTAGCTTACCTTCGTGATCACGCAAAGAGGTCTGCAGTCCGTTCAGAATTCCAACCAACACAAAATATAAATAATTATGCTGTGCATGTACAAATGAATGATTTAGGAGGGAAATAGACTGCTCCCATAACGTAGAAAGCAACGACTATATACAGCAATGTTCGGTAAATATTCAACCGAAAAATATTCTTCATAAAATGAAACCGGAGAGATAGTTAATGAGTGAAGTAACTATGTTCCTTAATAAAAATAAGCACATGCATAACCCTCCCTAACCCATTTAAATAAATGAATTGTGTGTGTGTGTGTATAATATTATAGGCTATATATATATATATACATATAAAATATTATTAAAAATATTATATACATCAGGTTAGCTAACGTTAGTGAAGTGTTGGTCACGTAAGCTATCGCTGCAATTAACCTATTATCTTCCAATAAACATTTACTAAAACTGGCTACATTAAATATAACTACAGACTAGATTCACGAGAGGTCGGCTAATGTGTGTAAAAGTAAAAAAAATACAGTAATTTCGTTAATTTACCAGCGAACGAACTTCTGAAGCACTGAAAATGAATGGGGTTCAATGGAGAAACTATCAGTGTTTGGAACTATTGGCCGCTCCACGACACGCGTTACTTCCGCATTCCAAAGTTCCTATGGCGGTCTATGGGAGTGTCGCAACTCTCTCTCTCTATGGCTCTGGCTAGTACGCATTACATGTGAAACTCTCTCCCGAATACTTTTACTACTGCTATTATACGTTTTTACTATTACAGCTATCGAGATTAACGAATCGTGAGATGTTTTTAAAGTATTTAGATCTATTCCCATCACATAAAATGTTGCCGTGATGAGCATTGAGCAAGCAGATGACAGTGTGTTGATCGCGAGAATGAAGATCTTATCATTGCAAAGCAGTTTCTGCACTCTCTCTGCTTTCACCAATGCAAACACGATGATGTAAATACAGTAAGAGCTTCGTTGTGCAGTAACTTGCGTCATTGATTTCACAACGAGTTTGGCAAGTGTCCAGATAAACTCGCGCTGTGTGGAAATATTGTTCTTTGATCGCTTTCTGTATATAATTTGTTCACAATTTAAATACGATTATTTTCATCCTACTAAAAGAAACGATGTGAACCTGATATTTTAGTCACTGGCTTGACTTACTGATGCATAAACAGTATTGAACGATTTTGAGAGAAAGATTACCTGTCTGAACTTGAACAATTACACATCAGAAAGTGTTGCTTGGTAGCTCGAGCCGAGGCCAGCTCTGTATTGGCCCAAGTTGAGGAAACAGTCGGTGAAATGTTTGGAAATTTCCAGAGAAAATAAAATTAACCCATTGTTTCTTCAGAGGCTCAGATGAAGGAACTAAAAAATACTTTTGTGTTCATGTGTACATCCACACTGAGCAACTGCCATGCTTCAGCTGCGCAGTTCCGCCTGGCATTGAGGGCTGGCATATGCAAATATTTGGAGGCGTACATATTAATGATCCCGACTATTGCGTCACAGTCGGTATTGTGTGGAGAACCGACCGTTTTTCAGGGGTGTTTTTCATAAACGTGAATTAAATGAGAACGCGAAAACAGTCCAGTTTGAGATTCACTCTATGTCATGTCCATGCACTGAACTCTTGTTATTTGACTATACCAAGGTAAATTCAATTTTGAATTATAGGTCACCTTTAATTGAAAGTTTTGGGAGTTTTGTTTACTTTTTTAAAATATGCCTATATAGTTTTTATTAAATTAGTTTATTTTGTTTTAGTTAGTACTTCAACAAATGAATAAATGATCAAATACACTCACCGGCCACTTTATTAGGTACCCCATGCTAGTAACGGGTTGGACCCCCTTTTGCCTTCAGAACTGCCTCAATTCTTCGTGGCATAGATTCAACAAGGTGCTGGAAGCATTCCTCAGGGAGTTTGGTCCATATTGACATGATGGCATCACACAGTTGCCGCAGATTTGTCGGCTGCACATCCATGATGCGAATCTCCCGTTCCACCACATCCCAAAGATGCTCTATTGGGTTGAGATCTGGTGACTGTGGAGGCCATTTTAGTACAGTGAACTCATTGTCATGTTCAAGAAACCAATTTGAAATGATTAGAGCTTTGTGACATGGTGGAAGTAGCCATCAGAGGATGGGTACATGGTGGCCATAAAGGGATGGACATGGTCAGAAACAATGCTCAGGTAGGCCGTGGCATTTAAACGATGCCCAATTGGCACTAAGGGGCCTAAAGTGTGCCAGGAAAACATCCCCCACACCATTACACCACCACCACCAGCCTGCACAGTGGTAACAAGGCATGATGGTTCCATGTTCTCATTCTGTTTACGCCAAATTCTGACTCTAACATCTGAATGTCTCAACAGAAATCGAGACTCATCAGACCAGGCAACATTTTTCCAGTCTTCAACTGTTCAATTTTGGTGAGCTCTTGCAAATTGTAGCCTCTTTTTCCTATTTGTAGTGGAGATGAGTGGTACCCGGTGGAGTCTTCTGCTGTTGTAGCCCATCCGCCTCAAGGTTGTGCGTGTTGTGGCTTCACAAATGCTTTGCTGCATACCTTGGTTGTAACGAGTGGTTATTTCAGTCACTGTTGCCCTTCTATCAGCTCGAACCAGTCTGGCCATTCTCCTCTGACCTCTGGCATCAACAAGGCATTTCCGCCCACAGAACTGCCGCTCACTGGATGTTTTTTCTTTTTCGGACCATTCTCTGTAAACCCTAGAGATGTTTGTGCGTGAAAATCCCAGTAGATTAGCAGTTTCTGAAATACTCAGACCAGCCCTTCTGGCACCAACAATCATGCCACGTTCAAAGTCACTCAAATCAACTTTCTTCCCCATACTGATGCTCGGTTTGAACTGCAGGAGATTGTCTTGACCATGTCTACATGCCTAAATGCACTGAGTTGCCACCATGTGATTGGCTGCTTAGAAATTAAGTGTTAACGAGCAGTTGGACAGGTGTACCTAATAAAGTGGCCGGTGAGTGTATGTTGCCTTGACTACTAGCTGAAATAAAATAATTTAAAATTAATAAAGTAAATAAAAGTAATAAAATGTGTTTTTTTTTAAATGGTTTAGTTTTAGTTAACTATAATAACCCTGACTCATACACTCTTTCTCAACTTGTTGCATTCAGACCTTAATGAGGAGGATGAGGAAAACGGAGATGTTGACACCAGTGCCGGGCGTTTCGTTCGATACCAGTTCACAGCGGCGTTCCTTAAGTTGCGCACAGTCGGAGCCACGTAAGTCTGTCGGGCATGTGCATTCTGCTGTGTGAACAAACCTCAGTGGCTCTGAAATCCAGTTGACCAACTCATGTTTTGAAACAAAGGAGCTTGTGTCATCGGCTGCAACACTTCAGCAATGTTATTGTTATTAGCCAAATCCCACAGAAATCATGAATAAATCATGATTTTGGCCTCAGTAATTCTTCCAGTTGTGCAGTAAACATGAGCAAACTTCAGTCTGTGTAGTCGATTGTCATGTTATCTGTTTAAATTAGTGTTATTGGATGACATTAAAGGGTTAGTTCACCCAAAAATGAAAATTCTGTCAGTAATTACTCACCCTCATGTTGTTCCAACCCCGTAAGACTTTCGTTCACCTTCGGAACACAAATTAAGATATTTTTGATGAAATCTGAGAGCTGGATCACTCCTCCATAGGCTTCTTAAGGGATCGAAACTGGCCGGCCCAAAAGTTATGAAAGACATCGTTAAAATAGTCCGAGTGACTACAGTGGCTCAACCTTGAGTTTATCAAGCGACGAGAATACTTTTTGTGCGCAAAAAAAACACAAAAAAACCCCTACTTTATTCAACTAATCATTTTCTTCTCTGTACGGCCATGATATTTCACGTAGTGATATTGCGCAAAGCTTCTAGGTTGCACGTTACACGCAGGCTCACTATTGGCCGACGCTGGTCATGTGTGTGATGCGTGACGTACAACCTAGAAGTTTGCGTAGTTTCACTACGTGAAATATCACGGCCCACAGAGAAGGAAATGATTAGTTGAATAAAGTCGTTATTTAAAAAAAAAAATTTGCGCACAAAAAGTATTCTCGTCGCTTGATAAACTCAAGGTTGAGCCACTGTAGTCACTCGGACTATTTTAACGATGTCTTTCATAACTTTTGGGCCGGCCAGTTTCGATCCCTTAAGAAGCCTATGGAGGAGTGATCCAGCTCTCAGATTTAGTCAAAAATATCTTAATTTGTGTTTCGAAGATGAACGAAGGTCTTACGGGGTAAGAACAACATGAGTAATTACTGACAGAATTTTCATTTTTGGGTGAACTAACCCTTTAAGCACTTTTTTACTGACCTGAATGGGTTTTTAGTGCATGGATTGATACTCTTGTGCATTGATATGTAATGTCTCTTATCTCCTTTCACACTCTCTCAGTGTGGAGTTCACAGTTGGCGATCGACCGGTTACCAATTTCAGAATGATTGAGAGGCATTATTTTCAAGACCGCCTCCTAAAGAATTTTGACTTTGACTTCGGCTTCTGTATCCCGAACAGTCGGAACACGTGCGAACATATTTACGAGTTCCCTCAGCTCCCAGATGACCTCAGTGAGTGTCCCGTAATGAATATAACAGATCTTTTAGTTCTTAAACCAGACGTGCTGTTTTGTTCGGTTTTATGTTTTTTGCTTTACTGTACTACAATTTTATTACATTTAACAGATAATACACTGCAAAAAAAGATTTTTTACTTTGAAATGTTGTCTCGTTTTACTGTAATAATATCTACAAATGATTAATTTATACAAAAGAGTAACCAATTGCTTTACAAGTAACACATTGACCTGACTTTGTCTGACATCTCACTTGTCCTGTCAGGCTTGTATCAAATTTCAGACCTCACTCTCTTGCCAATGCTCAGATAGAGGACAGCGCATTACATGTTCGTTTTCATTTGTTAAAGTGGCGTTCCTTTGTTTCCTGCAGTACGGTTGATGATTGAACACCCGTATGAGACCAGATCAGACAGCTTCTACTTTGTGGACAACAAACTCATCATGCACAACAAGGCAGACTACGCTTACAACGGGGGCCAGTAGTGCTGCTTCAGTAGGAAACCTGACCTAAGTTTGTTGGAGTGACCGTGTGGTTTTGCTTAGTGTTTGCGTGGAATGCAAATACAGGACCGTCTCCTCGCTACCAACAACACGGTGTTGTCACCAGCATTACGATCTGGCAGCATCGACCCACCCAACTGGAAATAACCATTCCTTCTATGAAGTTCCTGCATTCCACAGACTGCACACACTACTTGTGGGTTTGGTCCAAAAAAAAAGCCGAGCCTTTCTCCTCGACTAGCCGGAACTGAAGAATTCCTGTCCTGTCATCCTGCTTTAGGGGCGACTACAATAGAAGAGTTGTTGTTTTGTAATGTTTCTTCTCTTATGTCTTGCACCCAACACCATCATGTGTCTTGTTTTGTGAGATTTTTAAAGCTCTGAAGTCCTGTTAACCGAACTGAATCTTGAATATCTGAATGGGGTCTTTCTATGCTACAGCTTTGTTCAAATGTGCTAAAATGCCGCATAAATCTTTGGTTATTAAACAAAAAGAGGGTTTTTGCACAGATTTGCAGTTTTTGTAGTTCATTAAAGGGGTAGTACGGCATTATTGGGGTATATCATCACTGAGATTGCAACACTCGGACACGTGATCAGGGTTAGTATGTCCAGACAGTCCAGTTAAAGAGGATGTGATCTGTTTTCACCATAACCCTAAAGGGGGCGTTTACATGACACCTTAAAACTTTTTAATGCTTTTTGGCTGTTCGTTTAGGACGTTTACATGACAACAGCGTTTTGAGGGCCTGAAAATGCAAACATTTGAAAACGGGTTTTTATAGTGCAAGTTTTTGAAAATGATACCGTTTTCATTTAGTAGACATCGCCAACTACTAGCCTGGCAGCAGAACACAGCGTTTTCGCAGATCCGTGTGAACAGGGATTGTTTTGACAACGTTGTTGTGTATATGTGAAAAACTTCCATTTTTAGTACTTCGTTGTTGTTGTAAAACGTACCCTAAAACAGTTGCAGTGTTTTATGTAACTACACTACCGTTCAAAAGTTTGGGGTCAGTAAGATTTTAAAATGTTTTTGAAAGAAGCCTCTTATGCTCACCAAGGCTGCATGAATTTGATCAAAAATACAGTAATATTGTGTAATATTATTACAATTTAAAATAACTTTCTTTTTGAATTTATTTGATGGTAAAGCTGAATTTTCAGCATCATTACTCCAGTCTTCAGTTTCACATGATCCTTCAAAAATAATTTTAATATGCTGATTTGATGCTCAAGAAACATTTCTTATTATCAATGTTGAAAACATTGTGCTTCTTACTTTCTTTTTTTTTTTATAGGAAAACAATGCATTTATTTCAGGATTCTTGTTGAATAGAAAGTTAAAAAGAACTGCATTTATATGAAAAACATTTGTAACATTATAAATGTCTTTACTGTCACTTTTGAGCAATTTAATGCATCCTTGCTGAATAAAAGTATTAATATCTTCTTTTTTTTTTTAACTAACCCCAAAATGTTCAACCCTAAACTGACCATTTTTATAATGTACTTTGTTTTATTTTGTCTAACTGCTTTATGTCAAGTGTTTATCTGATTGAAAACAAAAGTGGGCTTTTCTTATGATGTGTAGTTTCAGTCCTGTTGGGATCTGGCCGTAGGGCATCTGTCTGTGTCATGTAGAGGGTTTTTAATGTCAGGCTCAGCTGTGCATACATCCAGAAACCATGTTTCCACTCGTGTCACACACAGAAAGGGATGGGATTCCCAACATGGCGTCCTTGTGCACCTTTCAAGCTGTTTAGCCTCTATCAGAGCTTTGATGTTTACCTTTGATCTAATTCTGATTCATGATGTTTAATAGCGGTTGTGAATTAGGCGATGTGATTGGCTGAAAATTTCAATTAAAAAAAGCTTATGGATACCCACCAAGAAATGCCTAACTTTACATATTTAATAAATTTTAATTTGATTTTATTAGATCATGATCAAAGCAAATCATGTGACGGTTGCAAGATACCCATTGTTATTCATTCACAAAGTCAGTCATCAACTCTCAATATATTCACAAACAAGTCAATTGGTCAGGAGACTTTCTTACATTTTTAAGTGTCCATAATAGAGAGAAGTTATAATATGAGGCTAGAGGACCCATGTTTGTGAAGTAGGCCTATTCGTGGTTGGTTGGTTGCATGTCTGTCTGATGCATTATAGTCGTGCTGTTTACAAGTTAAAGGGCTGGGTTGAAAATGTTGATTTCTCGATTTTAAATCCCAAGAATCGATCTAGGCTATGCTGTTTTCAGCTGAAGCGTGAACAAAACGTTATTTTATTTTACGAACAAAATATTATTTTTAGCATGTCTCTGTCCCCCATCTAATAAACTGAAAAAGCTTCATTACTTTTGATGTGAAACAAAGTCTTAGCTTCAAATACCGTCAAATTTGTTACGAACTTCAAACAATGTCGCTTTGCCGCTCTTTAATGTGGCGTGCAAGTGTAAGCGAAGCTCCAGCGATTTTTTTGATGACGTCTAAACAAGGGAGTCGAATTAAATTGAATCGAGATCGGAGTTTAATCGAATCGTGAAATTTGTGTCAATACCCAGCCCTAATCGGTACCATCTCTGTGTTGACATGCTGTAACCTACATGAGGCAATTTCCCACACAGATTTTGATCCAGCCTATATTACCTTTGTTAAACTGCACACAAGATAAAATATTTTGGTTTTATCAACTCTCCTCTCTTTTCAGTGTCTTCAAATTATGTTGCAACCCCTTGAGTTACTGAGAGAGATAATAATGTCTTTATTGTTCTTTAAAATATACAGTTTATTGTATATCATGGACACTAATGTGTGGATTTAGTCATAGCAGCTGTTTTAAGCCTCTGGGGTCCTTCGGCCCAAATGGACCCGAAGCATTTAAATATATATATTTTTTAAAATCATTGCTTTATCGGAATGGTCCGAAATTTGGTGACTTTGTTGGTACTTGGCATATGAACACCCCAAAAAATTGGGGACAGGATTTGAATAGTCTAAGTGGTTGTAAAAAAAATAGTCACACTCAGGACCTTCGGGTCCAAATGGACCCGCATAGGAAATGAATGGGAAATTGGCAAAAATGTGAAAATACAGAGTTATTTTGTGCGTACAAACTACAAATCAGCCACGATCCAGAAAAAAAGCACACAACAGTGAAGAGGTGAATCTATAAAACATCAAGAGTGCAAAACAGACACATCCACACACACACACAGACACACAAACACACTTTTATACACATACACACTAATAAATTCAGATTACATATGGGTTTTGAATTTTTAAAATGCTCAGTTTGTCCACCAGATGGCATCCATCTCATTTCAAAAATTGCTTTCATGAGGCCTAGGCTTGACTCTAAAATGAAATACAGCTTTAAAAAAAAAATTTTTTTTTTAAATTTCTATTATATTCAATGGGGAAAAAATGGGTCATAATTATTGCATTAATATTAATTATAAATCATTTTTATTTTTGAAATTATCTCAAAACACCAAAAAAGAAAAGAAAAAATATTATAAAAAACAAGTAAAAAAAAAAAAGATGTTTTTCTTTTAATAAATATTAATCCCACCCTTCCGGCCCATTTGGACCCGAAGGTCCTGAGTGTGACTCTGAAATGAAGGACCCCAGAGGGTTAAAATACTGCTCATGCTTTACATTTGTTGTGTAATAGCCTATGTCAACTGGAATACATTTCGTTTTTTTTTTTAAATGAGCCATTTATTGGGTTTCTGTGAATTAAGTCTTAATTCACCCGTGCACAAATTAAGGCAAACAAACAATCCATGTAAAAATCCAAGTCATTAAATCTTGCATTCATTGCAAAAAAATTATATCTTCCTCAGTATTTTTGAATTGGTTTCCCAATAAAAAGCTAAACATCTTTAAATCCACACTGTAAAAATTTATGATCAATAAGTTATGACAACAAGTATGTTTTTCCATTGCTAACTCATCAACTCCAACTCATCAAAATAGGTTAAGCAGTTTTCAACTATGTCGATTTTAACTTATATTATACAAGATTCAACTAATTTTTTTAAGTCAGTTTAATGTCATTTAAGTTTAAATTACTTTAAACATCCAAGTTGATTGTACTTAAAGATTTAAGGCAGCAACATTTGTTATTTATTGATTTATTTTTTACAGTGAAGATACATTTACTTTAGATGCAAATGCAAAATTAATCTTTGGAAAAATGTAACAAAATTAAGCGAGTTTATGCTTAAAACAAGAACAAATATCTGTCGATGAGTTATTAAAACTTTCCTTTGAAATAAGTTTTTCTAAGCCTATTGGCAGATATTTTATTCTTGTTTTAAATCATGAACTCGCTTTATTTTGATCAGAGATATATATAAAATACATTTTATAAACTTTATCTGTTTTATTCTTGACTCCACAGTAAAATCCAATATTGTACCACAAGGTGGCAGCAACGTCACTTGGACAGCAAATCATTTTAAATCCCATCTCAAAATATTTTCATTGCTTATGACATAAATATGACATAAAGCATTTATCGCTATTTGGAAATAACTGCTGCTTTAATTTAATAAATATAATCATTTACACTAAATATATTATTGCAATACTGTTATACTAAAATACTGAGATGCAAATAGCATCTAACTACTATTTACACATTTATTACAAAGAAAACACTGCTATTTTTACAGTGTATATAGAATATATCGCTAATTTATTTTCATTTTAATTTTAATTCATAAGTATAATTACTGGATATATGGTGTACTGTCCTACACTACAGGAGGAGCAGTGGCCATTTTGAGCAAAAAAAAACTCAATCCCGTCACACTCAACCCCATCACATTATATTTCTCATTGTTTCAGGGTTGTAAACTTGTGACAAGGTTGAGTTTTTCCATTTCATTTATGAATAATTTGAATTAAAAAAATAGTCATGGTTTCAGTAAAGATATAATTCCCAAAATCATGACAACTCATAATTTTTTTTATAAATAGAATATTTGATGTAATGTGTCCACTTAAACATCCTATGTCAGAAATCTAAGCCAGATCAGCAGCAGAAAGACTGTGATTTGCAAGCAGATTCCTTGACACAGAAAGAAGGGCACAATATAAGACAAATTTTTTTTTAACAAATGCCAATCAGAATCGAGAACCAGAACAAACTTTTGTATAAATTTGATTAAATGGCACATAACTTAGAATGCACCTTCACAAGAATATAAACTAAAGTGGAAATTGAATGCACTTGATTTCCATCAAAACTATCCGCAAATTCAATGAATCGGTTGTGCAAGTTTGTCTAGATTTTAAGAGTTCCTTGAAGAATGATCAGTGCCTGACCAATGATGTCCACTCGACCGTCATCTCTTATCTCCAGCTTTACCTCTCCACCACGACTGGAACACTGGTAAGCTAAAAAAACAAATATAGAGGAGATAAATGTCTTTGCAATCTGAGCCACTTGTTTTGTTAATGTTAGAATAACTTGTATTCTTTTTTTTTTCATTCCAGTGTTTGTGATGACATGACATGAAGGAAAAGAAGGCTGTTACCCATCATTTTCTTTTTCTCCAACTTCTCAGACCAATAGCCAGCAAGGACTGTATGTGCAGACCCTTTTAGAAATAAAGTTGTAGTATGATGCATTGATTTGTATTGGCTTAGTAATATTTATGAGTTTACATTGTTCACATTTCTCATGTTCTTCTCACCAGTGACTGGATCTTCAGGGACGCCAACCCAGGGTGAGAAGACACGGGAGTAGAAGTCA